TTACTCCTGACTCTGCGGTCAGGAATCCTGATTGTGCTTGATGTACCATATGGGGTGCTGGGGATTGAGCCTGGGTTGGCTGTATGCAAGGCAAGCACTCTACCCACTGTACTATCACTCCAGCCCTCCATACAGAGATTGCTTTTGGATATGGGAAAGTGAGACCTGCTGGCAGCTCAGGGGTTACTTCTGGCTCTGTACTCAGAAATCACGTATTGCATGCTCAGGGGACTATAGGGGGGGTGCCAAGAATTGAACCCAAGTTGACTGCGTGCAAGGCAAGCACTCTATCTATTGTACTATCTCTCTGGCCCCCCGTACAGAGGTCTCTGTGATTTTTATTTACCATCGTGAATTTAAAGTTTGTACTATCAGATACTTACAAGTATTAAATACGTAGTACTCTGGGTCTGTGCTTGGAAGATTTCACCTATTAACAAAATTCCAGGATGTCTGTGATCTACATCAATATATTCTTATTTATAATAGCAAAGTGAACTTTATGTAAGCTGATTTTTTGGTTATAATGTATAATGGGGAACTCTGCTTTCATAATGGGAAAAATCAGAGTATTTTATTTCAGGTTTTATGCAATCAGTTTTCTTGTAACGTTATTTTTTTTTTAATATATCAGTGTTCATTTGCTTTGAGCAGAAACAGAGATAAGGGAGTTAATGGATGGTCCAAGTGATAATTCAGTGGCTAGGATACTTGCCAAGAAAACTGTCAATTTATGTCCAATCCCAGGCAACCCCATATGGTCTCCTGAACCCGTCAGTCGTGTTTCCTAAGTTCACAGCCTCGAGTAAACCCTGAGCATAGCTGGATGTGGCCCCAAACCAAAATAAAACAGTACAAAGCAAATCAAAAGTTAATGGAAATCACAGATTATTTTCTTGCCTAAAATGCCCATAAATACATGAAACAGGATTTTTAAACTTTAGGTAAAAAACATACCTAATAGATTAAGTTTCATCTAGAAATTTATGATTTCTAGATGGAAATTGTAAGGAACATTCCACATGGAAATTGTAAGGAACATTCCACATAATGTTTAAAAGCAGTAATACAATAATACTTGCAAATTATAGCTTAAAAATTAACATCAATTATAAATCTTACATTAAATATCTTATTTCAGAAATATATTTTGCTTGAAGATCAGCGATGAATTGAATTCAATGTACATTTTAAGATCTATCAGATTTTGTTTAAATCTGTCCCTCCTTATGGGACCAGCAAGTAAAAAAATCTAGAAATGTGGATTACAGATGTGGTTGGTAATTATAATATCCTACATAGTAATGGTTTCTATGTGTTGGGACTTTTAATGTTTTTGAAGTGTTTGTTTAAGGTAACAAGGAAATAGTAAAGACACTGAAAAGTGTGGGGGTTTCAGGGCCCACAGGCAATACCCCAGTTTTAAATTAAAAAATTCTGATTCATTATTCAACAGTTGTTTAATTAATATTTGTTTGGTTCTTGGAAGACTTCATAGGAAGTAATCGCCTTTGTATATATTATTAATATTTTCATAATATAAATTAAATCCTTTGGAATGACCAGTTACCAAACCATGTAAAGCATAGCAATTATCTGAATCACGTTTTAAGACTGAATATTTGGAATTTGAAGGACAGGATATCCAGTTTATATTATAGCTAATTTTGAAGCAATATGTGTAAGGTAGTAATTTTTTCTTTATTTGGTAAGTTCTGAGTATATTTAAAGTTGAAATCAGAGGACCAAAATTTCTCTTTGTTACAGTCTTCAGAATGGGAAAGGATATTCGCCGAATACACATCTGACAAGGGGTTGATATCAAGGACATATAAAGTACTGGTTGAACTCCACAAGAAGAAAACATCCAACCCCATCAAAAAATGGGGCAATGAAATGAATAGAAACTTTGAGAAAGTTTCTTCCCTGAGGGGGAAGAAATCCGAATGGCAAAAAGGCACATGAGAAAATGCTCTATATCATTAATCATCAGGGAGATGCAGATCAAAACCACAATGAGATGCCATCTCACACCTCAGAGACTGGCCCACATCCAAAAGCACAAAAGCAACCGATGTTGGCGAGGATGTGGTGAGAAAGGGACACTCTTTCACTGTTGGTGGGATTGCTGACTGGTTCAGCCCTTTTGGAAAACAGTATGGACGATTCTCAAAAAATTAGAAATTGAGCTCCCATTTGACCCAGAATATATCCCAGAGAGGCAAAAAAGTATAGTCGAAGTGACATCTGCACTTGTTTGTTCATTGCAGCACTCTTTACAATAGCCAGAATGTGGAAAAAACCTGAGTGCCCAAGAACAGATGACTGGTTAAAGAAACTTTGGTACATCTACACAATGGAGTACTATGTAGCTGTTAGAAAAGATGAAGTCATGAAATTTACATACAAGTGGTACTACATGGAAAGTATCATGCTAAGCGAAATGAGTCAGAAAGAGAGGAATAGACATAAAAAGATTGCATTCATCTGGGGGACATAAAGTAACAAAATAGGAGATTGATACCCAAGAATAGCCGAGATCAGTACCAGGAGGATTACTCCATGGCTTAGAAAGGGCAGCTCAGATAGAGAAGGGAGCACCAAATAAAGGGTGTTTGGAGGATCATCCCAGGAGGGGAGATGCATGTTGAAAGTACACTATGGACTGAACGTGATTGCCACTCAATGCCTCTTTTGCAGACCACAACACCCAAAAGGAGAGAGAGAACAAAAGGGAATGCCCTACCACAGAGGCAGGGTGGGATGGGGGGATGGGTGTGGGAGGGATACTGGGATCCATGGTGGTGGAAAATGGGCACTGGTGGAGGGATGGGTACTTGATCATTGTATAATCAAAACCCAAGCACAAAAATTTGTAAATCTACAACTACACCTCATGGTGTTTCACTAATAAAAATTTTAAAAAATTCTCTTTGTTCATAGCACATATTTCAATGTATTTTCCTGAATTTACCAATTAGGACCAGTACCTTAATTTTTTATTGGTTGCCAAACATTATTATTGGTATTGTTGCTAAAGAAAAGGTTTAATGAAATGTGGTATATTGTTGCTAAAGAAAAGGTTTAATGAAATGTGGTATAATTTTCTTAAATAAGATATAATAATAAATGGGCTGGAGCGATAGCACAGCAGGTAGGACGTTTGCCTTGCACGCAGCCAACATGGCTGACCCGAGTTAGATTCCTCCGCCCCTCTCAGAGAGCCCGGCAAGCTACCGAGTGTATCTCGCCCTCATGGCAAAGCCTGGCAAGCTACCCATGACGTATTCGATATGCCAAACACAGTAACAATTGTCACAATGGAGATGTTACTGGGCCCGCTCGAGCAAATCGATGAACAATGGGAGGACAGTGACAATAATAAATAAGACCGGGGTTCTATCCCGGAGCCGCACCAGGAGGGATCCTGAGTGCAGAGCTTGGGGTAAGCCCCAAACCAAACACCACTACCTTCCCCCGAAAAAGGAGAACGAACAAGCAAAAACTGTCATTTTTCACCTTTTTTTTTTTAAAAGATGTTTTGGGCTGGAGCAATGACAGAACGGATGGGGCGTCTGCTTGTGCATGGACAACCTGGGTTCGATTCCTCCGCCCCTCTTGGAAAGGCGGCAAGCTACCGAGAGTATCTCGCCCCCACGGCAGAGCCTGGTAAGCTTCTCATGGCGTATTTGATATGCCAAACACAGTAACAAGTCTCACCATGGAGATGTTACTGGTGCCCGCTTGAGCAAATTGATGAACAATGGGAGGACAGTGCTACAGTGCTAAGATATAATTATGAAACTAAAATCTTTTAGTTTTATTTGTATATAGTTATTTTTCATTATGACATTTCTAGATCACATTTTGGATTGAATTGCTTCTGGTCTTAGACAATTTTAATAATTTCTGAAGCAGTATGGCACGTAGTATTACTCTTTCTCCCTTTTCCATCACTAATAATCTGTTGTTACTAGAACAACACAAAATAGTAACAGTACAGCATTGTGTGTCAGACACTGTTGTAAACTACATTATATATAGTAAGTCATTTAATGATAGTAACTCATTCTATTATTTTTGATGTAGTTATTACAGATAAAATATCAAGGCAGTTTATTTGCTCAGCATCATATGGGGCAGAGTGTGACAGCGATGAATCATCCCTCAGCTTTCTTTGAACCTAATATTGTTTTAAAACTTTATATTTTAAAAACTTTATAATTTGAAAAAAAATTTAAGATACATATAATTGAAATATTACTATTAGCACCTTACAGTAATTTTCTCCAGATTCAGGTTGCCAACATTTGTCACAGTTATCTGTGTGATAATTCAAATGTAGTAGCATCCTTTTTTTTTTAAAAAAATACTTTTGAATTTTTTAATGCAGATAGTCGCTAAACAGGGCTACAAAAATAGGAGAAGCCAAGAAAGAAAGGTACAGGGCAATTGAAATTGTGAGGGAGAGTAAACTAAAGTTAGTTCGAGCCTCATAGAGTTCAAGCATCTATGTGTTTTATTTGGATCTCTGGCTTTACCAATTTCCTTAATTTTCAATAAGATCTTATGATGATGTAAATTCATTATTCCCATACCCAACTAACGTGTAAACACACAGCCACATAAACCTAGACAGTCCATTACTAGAGTTGGCCTGTGCATCCTTTTGTCTAGATAAATTCATTGGATGGGGTGGGGGTAACAAGGTCATTTCTAATGAAACCTATTAAGAAAAAAATCACATCCACTCGAATACTATTCTGGGTTTTGTTTCGTTTGACCTTTTCATTTCAGACCCACAATCCAAATCTGCACCAAACAGACCTGAGCAGGTGGCCAGAGAGGGAAGGGAGGGGCGGAGGGGTCGGGAGACGGTAGCCGCAGAAAGTTGCGGGCGCGGTGGATCCTGGGAGTTGTAGTCTCCCGGGACTCCGGGGCCGGCCTCTCGCGGGCCTCTGGGGAACCCGCCGGTATTCCCAGAAGCCTCCGGCGCGGCTTGTCTGGGGCGCGCACTTCCGGGGACGCCGCGAGCCAGACCAGCTGAGAGCTCCTGGGGGAGGGAGTGTGAAGTGCCTCGGGTGTGAGAGACAGGTAGGTGTGGTCAGGATTTCTGGGTCTCGGGCAGACAGAGTTGAGGGTATTCGCGGGCCTGGGAAGAAGTCAGGAGACTCGGGTGGAAAAAAAAAATCGCCGAGCGCGTTCGTGGAGGTGGCCGCGGCGTGAGGAGGGCTTGGGATGCCGCCGAGGGAGGCGCGGGTGCAACGGCGGGCTTGGCAGTGCCGAGGGGCCGGGTGGGTTGCAGCCGGCTGCTGTTTTGGGTGCGATCGCGGGTGTTGGTGTGTGAAGATGCCCGGCTTGCGGGTTCGACCCGAGCATTGGGGCAGGGCTGGCTCCTGCGGGCGTTTTTGATTTCCCCCAGTCCTCGCGGCGGGCTCGCCGGCTAGAAAGCTTTTTTTTTTTTTCTCCCTTTCTTCCCGTCAGCGGGGGCGCCGGAAGCTTGGATTCTCCCCAACCCCCACCCACCCACCTCGCGCACGTTCGGGAAAGGCCGAACTTGGTGACCCCGTTTCGACTGAGTAGCGTATTCAGGCCCGGAGGGACGTGATGCAGGCTTTGCGGGTCACACTCGGCGGCGCCCAGGACTTGCTCCCTGCCTGGTGCTCTCGGTGGGGAGGAGGGAGGCCCGACCACAGGCTGCTGCTGTGGGGAATCGGCTGGGCTTGGGGGTCCAGCCCAGACCTCCAGCCTGCGGAGCTTGCGCTCCAGTGCCCGAGCTTTCTCTCCTCCCTGGCTCTTAGGTGGAGTTTTGAATGGCAAAAACTAACTAACTAAATACAATTTAAAAGGATCCACTTGACTTTGAGGCGAGCAGTTAGAATGTTTGTTGCCAACTCAAGAATCATTCATGTCCTGGGCGAAAACTTGGTTTAAATCTTTCCTCCCCGCAGTGAGGATTGCTGCAGGTGTAATAATCGGCCCTGGGCTAGTGATAAAAGCCCTGGTCCAGGAAGCGCTCAGGCGTTTACTAGTCTGCATCCTCTTGCTGGTGGAGATAAATACTGTTTGAGGAGGAAGTCCCTGATGCTTCAAAAAGATAGATTGAAACGTTTAAATGGCAGGTTGAGTCCCTGAGGCCCGTGGGGTAACCATATATTCGAAAAAGCGTTCCAGGTGCAAATTTTAGGATGCACGGTGCTGACCCACGCTGCCGGGTTTTGGGGTATCATTTTAAAAAGTATCGAAGAAACAATTATTTTACTTCCTGGACAATGCACAGTCCAGTGTTCTCTGTATTCTTTCACTGTAAGGCTCTGAAAGGAGCCTTAAAATTTCATTAAATATTGATAAGGTAATTCCAAGACAATAATGTGACTTTTATCCCGTTTCTCATCTTCTCAAATGACTAAGGGAGATTTAAATTTTTATCTATATTACATAATGACATATTAAAAATAAAATATCCCCCTCCTTTCCCTGCCTCTTACTGGACAGATATTTTGTTATATTATTTTATTGGTGGGCTGGAGCGATAGCACATTGGGTAAGGTGTTTGTCTTGCACGTGGCCGACCCAGGTTGGATTCCTCCATCCCTCTTGGAGAGCCTGGCAAGCTACCGAGATATCTCGCCTGTACGGCAAAGCCTGGCAAGCTACCCGTGATATATTCACTATGCCAAAAACAGTAACAAGTCTCACAATTTGTTGTGAGACGTTACTGGTGTCCGCTCCAGAAAATCAATGAACACCGGGAGGACAGTGCTATACAGTGCTATTTTATTGGTATTGAGCGATAATTGCACCGTAGCACTCCCACTGTTCATCGATTTGCTCGAGCAGGCACCAGTAACATCTCACAACAAATTGTGAGACTTGTTGTTACTGTTTTTGGCATATTGAATACATCACGGGTAGCTTGCCAGGCTTTGCCGTGCTGGTGAGATATTCTAGGTCGCTTGCCGGGCTCTCCGAGAGGGGTGGAGGAATCAGACCTGGGTTGGCTGCGTGCAAGGCAAACATCCTACCTGCTGTGCGATAATTATTTTAACTAATTCTGTGTGAAGTTGAATATTTAAAGAAGTACTGTAATTTAAGGTAAAGGTAAAGGCCCTCCCGTTGATCATCGATTTGCTCGAGCGGGCCCAGTAACGTCTCCGTTGGAGACTTTGTTGTTACTGTGTCTGGCATAGCGAATACTCTCGGTAGCTTGCCGGGCTCTCCGAGAGGGGCGGAGGAATCGAACTCAGGTCGGCCATGTTGGCTGCGTGCAGGGCAAACGCCCTACCGCTGTGCTATCGCTCCAAATAATATGTAATTATTTGGGTGAATTTTTTTGTTGTTGTTTCTTTAGGCTCTGAGTATTGCTACTGTGTGTTCAGATGTGTATTCTCATTTGGATAAAGCTGATTTAGAACGACCAGAAACCTCAACGAGTAAGTACTGTCTGTGATTATAGCTCATTTCTATGCATAGACATGATGCCATATATCTCGTGACACTTTTCTCTAGTTCAACAAAATTGTTACAGTGCACACCTTCCTTCCAAGTGCAAAGACTGATGATCTTCAGTTTCTCAGAAAACACGTTACAGGGAGAAAGGACTGCAATTATGACCATTAAAAATGGATATGACTGTTATCACACATGTTCTTGTATAGTTATTCCTCAGAGTTGGCGCTGAAAATTTATTATTTTGGTCCTGGGGCCACACCAGCGGTGCTCAGTGCTTATTCCTGGCTCTGCACTCAGAGTTCACTTATGGCACGGCTGGGAGGTTCCCACATGGAGTGCTGGGGATCAGACCTGGTTCTCCCCTGTATAAGGCAAACATCTGACCCATTGTATTATTGCCTGGAAAATTACTTAATGATGGGTTTGTGATGGGTTTGTGAATTCCTAAATCTCTTGGCCACTATTCCTATTGTAGACTTCTTTGAACTTTATTTTAAATCATAGGAAAAAATCCTTTTGAAATTGTTTTTACTCAGAAGGATTGCATTGAAATTGTGTAATCTTAAAATTACCAAATTTTATCTGCTTTTTTGAAAGTCACTTTGGAACATATAGTAGATGACAAAAATGGAGTGATGATTTTGAAACTGCCCTTGTTTTATTTGGTCAGCAACTGCTCTGGAGAGTGTGCTCTGTCATTGTTACATGGCTGTAATCATCTGTGATTATTTTGTCTAGTGTACAGAACAAAAGAATGTTCATAGCCAGAGAGAGTAAATAAGCCTATATATCATAATTATTATTATAAGTTTAAAGTTCTGGCTCTCTTCTGTTTTATAAAGTGCTACTTTATTCATGATCTCACAGCTACTTTGGAGAATTTTAACAAGTTAGAACTTTAAGGTGAAGTGGACAAATGATTTCTTCAGGTTGTACATGGAAGGTTGTGACTAGAATTTGGGTCTTTGGTTACCTGGGCCACAATATCAAACTGCCTCTCAGAAATAACAAACCCATGTATGTGTCTGTTATGTATATCAGAGCCTACTGCTCATGAGAGGCACTGCTTAGATTTGTTAAAATGTAATCTTAGTCTTACACATTTTTTATCATCTTCAGTCTAGAGAATTTGTATAGCAAAAAGACGCTTGCCCAGTGATGCTCAGGGGTTATTCCTGGCTCTGTACTTAGGAATTACTCCTGGCGGTGCTTGGCGGAGCCATATGGGATGCCGGGGATCGAACCCAGGTCGGCCGCTTGCAAGGCAAATGCCCTACCAGCTGCGCTCTCTCTCCGTCCCCACCTCCTTGCCATTTTTAAAAGAAAATATAGCTACAAATATAATACTTGCTTTGATAAACAGTAAGTTTAAACATTAGTTGGCTATATTGACCACTCTTAATGAAGGGGTATATATCTGCTGTAGTTCATATCCAAAAGTTGAGAACACATGAATCAGCACAGTCATGGTAGATCGACTCTCTACCCATTATATAGGTTAATCTGTGTTGCCAAACAGATACTTATTTCTAGAATCAGCACCCACGTGAAAATACTTGCGAGTGACCTCATTTCTTGGGAAGTTTCTGGGGGAAGAACATTATATTTGTTGTAAAAAATGAAATAGACTTTGACCAATAGAGATAAGAAGAGGCAGGGTATAAAAGCTTAGAGGCTTAAGAACACTGGATCTGAATAATGGAGCTAATAATAGCAAATTGATACGTTTCCTTCTGTGTCCTGGCCATACTTTTATAGGCCTTTGTTTGTTTGTTCATTTGACAAATAATTGAGTGCTTTTATGTGCCAATGCTGGACAAAGGGAAAAGAACAGAAGACTCGCTGTTCTTCTGGAATTCACTCTGGTGGAAAAATAAACACTGACCAGTATACTATAAGTATAATCACTGCTACCAATGAAAAAGTACAAAGACAATAACTAGGGGCAGAGAAAGAAAGTTTAGAATCAGCTTCCCTAGAAACCTTAGAGATATAAACGTACTGGCTAAGCAAAGAGTGGAGTTTAAGAATGCTCTTAAAGGAAGAATAGCATGAGAAGATGCTCTTAGCCAAATTAGAAGCTGAAAAATTGAAAAGTTTATAGAAATACTGTATGTATACTTTGTCTGCAATATGTAAAATGGGATGTTGACACATAAGGAGTCTGAGAATTTGGAGGAAGGATGCTAGAATTGGAAACTTGGAAACTAGGAAAAGAATTTAAAAATTAATAATATTAAAATAAATTACATGGTAAGAAATGGAGTGGGATGATTATATTTGAATTTGAGAAAAATTCTGATTCAGAATTAGCTGATATGTAACAAGACAGAGAGTGGTTTTTCACTCTTGTATTATAAACAGATCCTTAGCTGAGAGTCAGCATTGTTTTTGAGTTTTAAATTGCTAAACATGCTTCCTTGCAGTTAGTCCCATAGAATATTACTTCATCCCCTATTGGACTATATGACTTACTATTAAATCAAATATATGTGGAGTTAACAGGACATTAAAAACAAGCAAAAGTTGTAAAGTGCTGAGGCATGAGTTCTAGCACTGCAATAAAAATTTAGCTAAAGACTTGTGGTGAATAGTACTTTTTTTCTGAAGAAAATCTATCATATTAACTCTATAGGAGTTCTGGGTTCCCAGACTAAAATTTGAACTAAGAATCCTTCTACAAAGAAAGTTCAGAAGGTGGAAATAACATGCATATTGATTTGATATGGGCATTGTTCTATCTCTGTTAATCTAAGAACTGCTAAAAAATATAATGAAGGGCTAAGCTATAGTACAACAGGTACTAGTCCCATAGAATACTACTTCAAGTAATATTCAGGTAATAAACATGTAGGGCTTTAAATAAGGGTAATAAGCAGCACATTGCTTTGCATGCAGCTGACCCAGATTTGATCCGTGACACCTAATATGGTTCACCAGCCCTCCTGGAGTTATCCCTGAGTGCAGAGCCAGAAATAAACCCTGAACACTACTAGGTGTGCTCCCTCCCCCCCTCCCAAAAATAGGGATGAATTTTATTTTTGATGTTCACAAATTCTTTTATTAATTTTTTTGTTAATTATTTGTTCTTTGTAGGAAAAAAATGTAAGTACTAACCTTGGCACAAGTATTCAGGGAATTTTAGGAGGAAGTGAAGTAATGAAGCAATATAGTTTTTATTGACTGAAATTTAGAAAGTTGTGCATGGGGTTGAAGGAAAGGAATACATGGTCAAGAGTGAACACAATCTTGAAAGAACCAGGAAGCAAGCAAGAGACATACGTGTTCAACTGAAAATTCAGGCCTGAAGAGCATCCCTGAATTTATTAATGTAATTTATCCTTATTTGATTCTTCATTTGCATTGTAAGAATCAGTGGTACAGGTGAGTTTAATTGGGGTAATTTCAATTATATTGATAAATGTATTTGTTAACCACCTCTGAAAGCAAGAAGTAACTGTGATAGGGTGAATAGGTTATCTGACAGAGTTCTGAAACTTTGAGAGACATAGAGTACTGTTTTCTTTAAAGTACTCTTTTTGTTAAATCATTGTTTTATTGCACTGTCTTTCTCAGATCCTATGTGACATATTTTTTTGATCAGACATCTTATTGTTTCATTTAGCTTACTACATAATTTGCCACTTGACACTCACTGATCATAAAACTGATTTACTTTTTAGCATTTGGAGTTCTCATAGAACAGCAGCATTTAGAGTTCTCATAGAACAGCACATTCTTTTCCTCATTCTGTCTGTTAACTAACACATTGGGGCAAGGTCCAGATCTTAGTGGTTTTAATGTCCCTTCAGGACCTGTTTTGCATGTGGCTGGTACTCATTAAATATACTTTGAATGAAATATTGATAGGAATGACTGTATACTTTTTTTTTTGCTTTTTTTTTTTTTTGTGAGGGGGGGTCACACCAAGTGATGCTCAGGGGTTACTCCTGGCTCTGCACTCAGGAATTACTCCTGGTGGTGCTTGGGGGACCATATGGGATGCTGGAAATCGAACTCGGGTCAGCCGTGTAAAACACACACCGTACCCGCTGTGCTATTGCTCCAGCCCCATGACCATATACTTTACCAGTTCTACTTTATCAGTAACCTACCTTTGTAAATTACTATGGTCTTGGGGACAGAGTCCCATTTTTTGTTTTTATTGTGTCATGCGCAAGTCCCAGTTCTTATATTAGGATGACAATGTGACAGGCAGTGTGCATGTTGCTCACAGTGTATGGGGGAAATAGATTGTGTATGTCTATAGGTATGAACATATACCTATATATTTTCTATTAGAAAATCACTGCTAGTTTTACTAGTAGAAAATATTGGGCTAGAGGATCATATGGGAGATGCAACCCTTTCCATACATAGAGCTGACCCTGGTTTAATTCCCAACACCGCTTAATGGTCCCCAGACATTATCAGGAGTCACTACTGAGCACAACCAGGAGTAGCCCATACTGCCTCCTCTCATCTCCCAAATAATACTGGAGTAAATATATTGCTTTCTAAAGGACATGTTGTTCTCACATTCAGATGCATTTAGGAGTAGTATTTCTCATCATTTTGAACTCCTGAGAAAGTTACTGTATCATCTTAACAGATAATATTTTACTCAAAGTAAAAACAGTATTCTGAAGTAAGAAGATTCTTTTGTGGGTGGGAGATTGGGGTCCAGCAATGCTCAGAGGCTAAGCCTGACTATGTTCAGGAGTAATTCCTGGAGGTGCTTAGAGGATCATAGGTAGTGCTGAAACTGGGTCATCCTCATTCCATAAAGGAACTTGGCAAGTGCCTTAAACCCTTCTGTTATCTCTCTGGCCCCCAAATAAGTATATCCTAAACTTTAGAATAATCTTTTCCCTTTGTCATACAATTAAAAGAGGTAAAATGTGCTTCCCCTTGTCTGTTGCATCATAAGTGTATGTGACAGAAGGCAGAGAAAATATATTTTAATGATATTTGGACAGCGATTTTCAAACCCTTGAAGAAACGAAATGTGAATAAGATAGTGACTTTTAGAGTTTGCCATATACAAAAAAGAAAGAAAGCATTTGAATTTTGGATGAGAGAGAGAGAGAGGCCTAATTATGTTTTTCTTTTCTTTACAAATTGCCTTTAATAGAGAAAGGTGGTTGTTCAAAACTTTGCATACATCTTATTTGAGCAGTATTAGTATGATCGGTAACAATCTGAAAAGCGCTCAGGTCATCTATGAGTCATCTATGAGATAGCTGAGCAGAATAATTTCAAGGACATTTGTTTTCTTCTTTATTTTTCCTTTGGAGAGGAATCAATCCATTTACATTTCCTAATTTTCCAGTGTGCCTGACTTAAGATTGAGGTGAGTTTGCTTTTTGTTTTTTCTTTTAGGATTTATTCAGCACATATTCTTTGAACTTCTCCAGTATGTCAAGAACTTGAACTGCTCATTGAGTGCTACAAGGTACTTACTGCTTGCCTTGGTCTTATAGTGCACCAGATATGTTGTGAGCACTTGACATTATCATCACACATTGAAGAACCTATTGGAGAGGCTTGTTACTATCAGTTTTTTAGATGAGGAAAATGAGGCACAAGAAGAGCTGTTGCTGGTTCAAAATCATTTGGCTATTGAGGAAGTGGGGATTAGAACCCAAGCAGCTTGCCTCAAAGTCTGTCTACACCTGAATCTTTTATGAGCCACCTTTGCCTCTACTATGTGCATGTCTCATTTTACAACTGAGGTCCAATTTGTATTGTCTGTACTTGATGGTTGCTGTATGCCTTGAACCTAGTTTCATTTATGCATGTTGATTGTGTGAGTAGATAGCCAACTGTGAGAATTTCAGGGGCTATGTTAAGGGAATTTAAAATTGTATTGATTGTTTCTTTGATGTACTATAAAGAAAAATGCTGTGACTAAAGACTTCCCTTGCTGCGCCACCTAGTTGGTGGTGACAGAGGCATGTCTGCACCTGTGCTCTGATGCCACAGGCACATGTGTTTGTGTACATTCATGTTGTGCACAGAAAGGATACAAAGAGCAGAATTTCTCTCTTTGACATTTCAGCATTAATAGTGTTGCCACTTGGCACTACACGTCCTGCTGTATTCTTCTATTGTCCCCTCATGGTTTTTCCTCTTGTGTGTCACCCTCCCTAGTCCGACAGACAAGCCTGCACAAGCCTGCCTAACATGGGCTGTCGAGATGTCCATGCAGCCACGGTCCTGTCCTTCCTGTGTGGAATCGCCTCAGTAGCAGGCCTCTTTGCGGGGACTCTACTGCCCAACTGGAGAAAATTACGGCTGATCACGTTCAACAGAAATGAAAAGAACCTGACTGTTTACACTGGCCTATGGGTAAAGTGTGCCCGCTATGATGGGAGTAGTGACTGCCTGATGTACGACACTACTTGGTACTCCTCAGTTGACCAGCTGGACTTGAGGGTCCTACAATTTGCCCTGCCTCTCAGCATCCTGATCGCCATGGGGGCCCTACTGCTCTGCCTAATTGGAATGTGCAATACAGCCTTCAGGTCCTCGGTGCCCAATGTCAAACTCGCCAAGTGTCTGGTCAATAGTGCAGGCTGCCATCTGGTGGCTGGGCTGTTCTTTTTTCTGGCAGGTATTGTAAGCCTCTCCCCATCCATCTGGGTCATCTTTTATAATACCCATCTGAACAGGAAGTTTGAGCCAGTCTTTACATTCGACTATGCAGTGTATGTCACCATTGCTAGTGCTGGGGGCCTGTTTATGACTTCCCTTCTTCTGTTTATTTGGTACTGTGCATGCAAATCTTTGCCTTCTCCTTTCTGGCAACCACTTTACTCACATCCTGCCAATATGCACACTTACTCACAGCCCTATTCAGCACGCTCCCGTCTCTCTGCCATTGAGATTGACATTCCAGTAGTTTCACATACCACCTAATGAGGGAAATAGTTGTTAAGAAAAACTTTGTAGCCTCACATTTCCCCTTTCCAAGGAGTTGTTTGAACCTATATATGTTTTCTTTTCATTTCTGACCAGTCAGTGAAACCAAGTTTATGTGTTCTGGTAGAATGAAGTGCTGCTAGTTTTTATGAAAAGTACTTTATATTAAATGTGAATTACTTCTTTTCTTTTGCTTCTTATACTAGAAGAGTTTTTAACCTTCATATTGATGTCTAATCAGTTAAATAGGAGGAACTTTTGTCTCAGTTGAGGTGATTTAGAGCAACATGGTAAAGTTAAAAATAATGGCTAAGAGAAGGTATTATACACAATCTGAGTTTTTCAGGTTGTTTATCGTCCTTTCCCCCCCAGAATACTTTAAGTTAGAAAAAAAAATTATTTCACATATAAGAAATTTATGTTCAGTAGGGTAATACTAAACAGTAATCAGTCTGTCAGTTTAAGACTATGACTTACTTCTCGCTCACACCTACTTGTATTGAATAGGGTCCAGAATTTTGAAGATAATGTTCTTTTGTGAATTCCTTATCTTCTACCTCATGCCAATGGTTAAGAATTAAATGCAGTTTATGTGATGTCAAAGAATAAGCCTAACATTTTAAATGTTTGCTAGCAATGAATAATGTATTACAGGATTTTAAATGCTAATGATTCTATAAGTTATTGGAGTTAAAATGTGCTCGTGATTGGTGCTTCCTCTGAGGCAATACAACCTTTTCCTCTAATACTAAGTGGTATTCATATCCATCTATAATCTTTCAGTGACTGGAAGAAAGAGGACCAGTGTATTGTATTCTTTTAACAGTGATCAGATGCAGTCATCTGTTCTTCAGTGACAATATTAATGGTTCACTCTAACTTTTGATTGATGGGTGAAAGTTAAGGCATAACCTACATTCACCCTTGATTCAGATCTTTCCCCATCAATGATTATTCCTTAAGCATTTATCTGTGTCCAACACTTTAGTAGGTGCTAGAAGAGGATGCATGGCAAAGAATGAGATCTGGTCCCTGTCACAAAGTTTAATAGGGAAGATAAACCACTATTGATCTTAAAATTAATAATTAAGGGAACAGTCTGACTTTATTGGTAGCTGCTCTTAATTTCTCAGTCATTGCTCCAGTAATATATTTCAAATGCAAAGGCTTTTACAATATCAGCAATATTCTAGAACTTCGAATTTAATTCATTATAGATCCTTTAGAGCAGGGCTTCTTAAACTTACTTCATTTGCAATCCCTTTTTGTCCAAGAAATTTTTATGTGATACCCTGGTATGTTAAATAAGTGTACAAATGAAATATTTACTGAGAACTGTAAAGAAACTTTATTTTACAGTAGCCCTCATATTTAGTTATATTACCCTATGTTTGGGGTCACGACCCACAGTTTGAGAAGTTAGGCTTTAAAGGAGTGGTTTTCAACCGTTGGTCTCCAGACTGATGCATTCTATAGATGTAAAAAGGTTGAAAATCACTGCTCTGTCCCAGTGGTTATTCATTGTCAGTTCTCAAACTGACCTCAAATGGGTGGTGGTCCTGGTTGAAAACCACTGCTTTAAGTGCCTACTTTAGATGCTGTCATAATAATATGTATGGACAAAGGTATTAGAGAAATTGTTCACTTCTGAAAATATAATAGAAAATGGAGGGGTACTCAAAATATCTTTTTTACTTGGGTAAAATTTAGCGGAACTAATAATTTTGAGAAGAAGTTTAGAAATTCAGGGATGTTTGGTCTTTGCCTTGATGAATTTGAACTGCTGCTTAGTTGGTGTAGTTAGTACTGTGTTCATAAGGTTTTTATTCTGTTAACCATTACAAATTTCATGAACAGGTAGCTGCATGGGAAACAGATTATTATGCCCTTTTTGCAGATTTGCATATGGTTTATTGTTCTGTGAATATACTTCCCTCCAAATCCCAATACTAGTTTATGTATATAGCACATAATTCCACTTGTATAAATTTGAAGTATCAGTAGAAAGCATGCAAGACTATGGCTTTTTAGTTCTGGGTTCTGATTTTATTCTTTTTAGATCTTCTCAGACATAGTTGAGTCTTGATCCTTCCAAAATGATGGCAGGTAGAATTTTTACATAAAATTACTTTTTGTGTGTTTCTTGGGGGCCATCCCTGGTGGTGTTCAGGGCTTACTCCAGGCTCTGCACTCAGGGATCTCTCCTGGCAGGCTTGAGGAACTCAGTGTGGTGTTGGGGATCAAACCCTGGTTGGCCACATGCAAGGCAAAAATGCCCTCTCTGTACTATCACTCCAGCCCATTAAGATTTTTTTCTCTTCCTTTTTTGAGGGGAGGCAAGGGGCACACCTGGTGATGCTCAGGGGTTACTCCTGGCTCTGTACTCAGGAATCACCCTTGGCATTTTTGGGGGATAGTATGGGGTGCTGGGGATCAGACATAGGTTGGCCACAAACAAGGTAAGCACCCTACCCACTGTACTCTCTCTCTCTCTCTCTCTCTCTCTCTCTCTCTCTCTCTGGCCCTAAGATTAAATATTCCCCTTTGCTGATTTATTTCAGTCCCCTCTCTCACTAAAATTGTCTATATAGTGTCAAGAATTCCACCATTCTTCTTTTCCTTGTATAACAATGGTGAAGAAATTTAGACTAGCCATTAATATAAGATAGTGTTTGGACCATGGGACCATAAATATAAATGTTAAACTTTTCTTACAAGAATCTTTTGAATTTATAATCTGTAGCCTCAAAATGGTATTTATTAGGAAATCACTTAAAAGAAACAGGTGTTTCCCTTACTGCCTTTAAATGGTTCAGATTTGCTCTCAGCAGCTGTTCTTCAAAGCCATCAAAAGAAAGAGAGTGTTTATCATTCTTTTAGTACTTTTAAGGATTCATCAGGCTCTCATTGTGATGGGGATATCTTTTATGGCGGGAGTGGGGGGGGGGGGGCGAGCAGGGATTGGTCCATACCCAGTGGTGTTCAGGGCTTCTTCCTGACTATGCACTCAGGGGTCACTCTTGTGGGTTCTGGGGGACCATATGGGTAGCCGGGGCTTGAACTTGGTTCGACTGCATGCGAGGCAAGGGCCCTAGCCATTGTACTATTGCCCCGGTTCCACTTCAAATTCATGTTGTAAAAGTCTATTTAATAGTAAGCAACTTTTGTAAAAACCAATTTGGAAACCAAATTTAAATGTGGGATGAATGTTCCATATACAATTTATTCACCTTTGCGGAAAAAAATTCCTGAGTTTACTTGTAAATATACACTGCAATACATAATGTTTGCTGTAAGCTGTAATGTAAAACTTCACTAAAAACTGCACTGTACTACTTGATGTTTATTAAAAGATGTATTTTTATAAGTTTCTGTTTGTAGTCTTATTTCCTCAGTCTTTTAAGGTAGACTATCTTGAGAAATGTTAGTTGAATATATGTAAACTGAAAAAGACATATTTCACTTTAAAGCCTTATAAAATAGCCATTGAAAAGTAAATGAAAACCATGGATTTATTGTAGAAGCGTTAAGACTTCTTTGCCCGTTCTAGGAGTGGCCCTAGTTGTTTGCTGAACTGTTTTAAACTAACATACCACCAAAAAGTACTGAATGAAGTCAGTGTGCCAGATTTGTCTTTTCAGTGAATGAAGTTTCTTAATGGTCTATGATTTTGGCGATTGGGAATTCTCAAATGGTTAAATAGGAGATTTAGCTTCTATTTCCTATTTTGTTTTTGGTTTGGGGCCACACTTGGCAGTCTTTAGGACTTACTCCTGGCTTTGTGCCTGGGATCAATCTTGGCGAGCTCAGAAGGGACCATAATTTCCTATTTTTTTTCCTTTGTTTTGAGCCACACTTGGCTGTTTTCAGGGCTTAATTCTGGTTATGTGCTCGGGATCATTCTTAGCGGGCTCAGAAAGGACCTTGTGGGGTGCCAGGGATTGAACCTGAGTCATCTCTGTGCAATGCAAGTGTCCTACTGACTGTACTGTCTCTTTACTTTCCACGCCCAATTCTTTAGAACCTGAGTTTATGAAGGGATGTGATACTGATCATTAAATTGTCTCAGAATTTCTGAAATCTAGAATGAGCTTTACTCTGTCACATAAAGCTTCTTGGAATAGTTGTACCTTGGTATGCATCCACTCTCTTTCTGGTAGTTCCTTAGATTGTAGAATCTCTTTGTATTAGAATATTAATCCAAAGCTGCCATCCAGATTCAAAAAACACTGATTTACTAGTCAGAATTGAGAAAAAGAGATTATTTGGAACCATTATCCAAGGTCTGTTTTCAAAAGTACAGCCTACACAGAGCTCCTTGGAAAAGAGTGATTCTAGTTCTAGGAAGTACTACATAAACTTACTACAACTTAATCTTTCAGAAAATAAGGAAATGCTCAGAGAATGATGGAGACATTCAGTTACATAAGCTCCAGCTTGAAAAGGTTCTTAGGACTGAATCTGGGGCAATCTGAGCATTAAATAAATGAGTTATATCCCAGTGGAATGAAGGAGAAATGCATATGCCTGCTGATATGAATAATGGGAAACACAGAAGAGATGTTTCTTTATGGTTAAATTTTAAGTAGGGGAAAACCAAGACATTTATGAAGATAAAGGTAAAAAGGTAAAGGCCCTCCCGTTGTTCGTCGATTTGCTCAAGCGGGCCCAGTAACGTCTCCATTGGAGACTTTGTTGTTACTGTGTTTGGCATATCAAATACGTCACGGAGAGCTTGCCAGACTCTGCCGTGCGGGCGAGATACTCTCGGTAGCTTGCCGGGCTCTCCGAGAGGGGGCGGAGGAATCGAACTCGGGTCGGCATGTTGGCTGAGTGCAAGGCAAACGCCTTACCGCTGTGCGAACTACTTGGTAAGCATTTGACAGGAAAAAAACCATCATTTGTCTCAAAATGTTCCATAAATTGTTTTCAGAGGAAAATGTGACTTTAAAAAAATGTTTTAATTTCTTTGTTTTTGAATTTATTTTTAAGTTTTATTTCCCCTTACACTTTATATAGACACTATGGTTTATAAAGTTGTTCATGATGGTTTGTTACAGTGAATATTCCACTACCAATCCTACCACCATTGCATCTCCTCACCAGCATTATCTTCAATTTTCGCAAACACCCCTTAAGCCTTCCCACATAGCAGGCCCTCAATAAGTTATCTTCTGCTGCTTGTTATCACTGAATTCATAAAAGACGAGAAATGAGTCAGAAAGAGAGGGACAGACATAGAATGACTGTATTCATTTGTGCAATATAAAATAGCATAATATGAGACTAATAGCCAAGGACAGTAGAGACAGGGGCCAGGAAGATTGCTCCATGTTGGAATCCTGCCTCATGAGCTGGAGGAGAAGGCAGCTGGGATAGAGAAGGGATCACTAAGTCAGTGATGGTTGGAGGAACCCTCAGGGTGGGAGATGTGTGCTGAAAGTAGATATAGGACCAAACTTGATGGCCTCTCAGTATCTATATTACAAATCATAATGCCCAAAAATAGAAGTAATACGGAAATTGCCACAGAGGCAGGGGAAAGGATGGGGTGGGGGTGGTTGGAGGGATACTGGGGACATTGATGGTGGAAAATGTACACTGGTGGAGGGAGGGGTGTTGACTGAAACTCTAATCATGAAAGCTTTTTAAGTATCTCACAGTGGTTCAGTTAAAAAAAAAAAGTGATCAAAAACTGTTTTCTTAGAAGAAAGTTAGTGAAGATTGTTGTATCTCACCTTGGAGCCATTGAGCCCTTGTATAAGAGATTACCAGGATGTTACAGATTAAATCTTTTGTGTTTGTATTTTGTTAATCGAGATTGGTTGCCTTCTACATTATGTCCCATCCAATCTGGTGTGTTACTCCTGGTTTATTTGTCAGTGTTGTAGAATTTGAAATGTTTCATTGCCATGAATGTGGCAGTGCACTCCAGGGAGTCCAAAATTTTTTACAGGGTGATACAGCTGGAGTTAAACTTTTAACTGGGTGGCGGCTTTGGGGTGTGTATGTGACTGCAGGAACTTCTGGAAGTACAGGGTGGTGTCTTCATTACTGCCCAGAAACTGTAGAATAAAAAAATGTACTCTATTGTTTCCAAAATACTTTCTGCTGTAACTTTAAGGAACAGTTTGAAGAGATTATATCAGGTTTTCTATTATGAAAAACTTAAAAAAAAATCACTGCAAAAAAAAATAATGTGCAGTCACAGAACCACAGGATTCGCGGAAACTGAAGGAGTATCTCATCTCCGTTGATGAGCAATGTCTTTTTTTTTATTTATATTTTTACAGTTGTAGATTTACAATTTTTTGTGCTTGGGTTTCAATTATACAATGATCAGATACCCATCCCTCCACCAGTGCCCGTTTTTCACCACCATGGATAATATCCCTCCCACCCCCATCCCCCCATCCCCCCCTGTCTCTGTGGCAGGGCAATCCCCTGTGTTCTCTCTCTCCGTTTGGGTGTTGTGGTCTGCAAAAGAGGCATTGAGTGGCAAACATGTTCAGTCCATAGTCTACTTTCGACATGCATCTCCCCTCCTGGGAGGATCCTCCAAACATCCTTTATTTGGTCCTCCCTTCTCTATCTGAACTGCCCTTTCCTCTAGGATACCCGGCTGGCCTCTAAGTTATGGAGTAATCATCCTGGTGCTGATCTCAGCTATTCTTGGGTATTAATCTCATACTTTGTTACTTTATATCCCCCAGATGAATGCAATCTTTCTATGTCTATCCCTCTCTTTCTGACTCATTTCGCTTAGCATGATACTTTCCATGTTGTACCACTTGTATGTAAATTTCATGACTTCATCTTTTCTAACAGCTACATAGTACTCCATTGTGTAGATGTACCAAAGTTTCTTTAACCAGTCATCTGTTCTTGGGCATTCAGGTTTCTTCCAGTTTCTGGCTATTATAAAGAGTGCTGCAATGAACAAACAAGTGCAGATGTCACTTCGACTATACATTTTTGCCTCTCTGGGATATATTCCCAGGAGTGGTATTGCTGGGTCAAATGGGAGCTCAATTTCTAATTTTTTGAGAATCGTCCATACTGTTTTCCAGAAGGGCTAAACCAGTGGACATTCCCACCAACAGTGAAGGAGTGTCCCTTTCTCGCCACATCCACGCCAGCATTGGTTGCTTTTGTTCTTTTGAATGTGGGCCAGTCTCTGAGGTGTGAGATGGTATCTCATTGTGGTTTTGATCTGCATCTCTCTGATGATTAATGATGTAGAGCATTTTCTCATGTGCTTTTTTGCCATTCGGATTTCTTCTTTGAGAAAGTTTCTGTTCATTTCATTGCCCCATTTTTGGATGGGGTTGGATGTTTTCTTCTTGTGGAGTTTAACCAGTATTTTGTATATCCTGGATATCAACCCCTTGTCAGATGTGTAGTTGGCGAATATCCTTTCCCATTCTGTAGACTGTCTTTGTATTTTGGTCACTGTTTCTTTGGAGGTGCAGAAGCTTCTTAGTTTAAGATAGTCCCATTTATCTATCTCAGTTTTCACTTGCTCGGCCAGTGGCGTGGCATCTTTGAAGATACCATTAGCTTCAATGTCATGGAGGGTTTTGCCAACTTTATCTTCAATGTACCTTATGGTTTCTGGTCTGATGTTGAGGTCTTTAATCCATTTTGATCTTACTTTTGTACATGGTGTTAGGCAGAGTTCTGAGCCTATTTTTTTGCATGTAGCCGGATGAGCAATGTCTTAATCCTCAGGCATACTCTCAGATCCACCTAAGGTCTCTCTCTTCCCTTGTCTTCCCTGCCCACGTAAGAAGGAACTTTTTTAGGAACAGGTCATTCTCCCTGTACTGCAGGCTACCTCACCACCCTCCAGCCTTGAAAGACTGTCAGTGTATTCACATTCCTGAATCCTGTAAACCTCACTGCAGGACTGGAATAAGGTTAGAAAAAGTGGTGCTTTTTGGTACTTGATATCCTATCTAACATTCATCTACAGATCTGTTCATAGTGAGCAGATCTGCATTTATTGTATTTTGTCTGGAAAACTAGAATCCTCTAAAAGGTTATCTAGCAAATTTTAAGAAAGTGAGATAGAGGGTCAGATAAAAAGAAAAAAATGTATTTTGTATGAGAAATCCAGTGTGATGAACTGTTAACAGGCATCAGGGGGCTGGAGAGATAATTCATTGGTAAAGTGCTAGCCTTTCATGCAGCTGACCTTAGTTTGATCCCTGGCACCCTATATAGTACCCAGAGCACTGCCAGGAGTGATTCCTGAGTGCAGAGCAAGGGGTAACCCCTGAACATTGCAGGATGTGGCCCCCAAACAAACAGGCACCTGACAGTCATGATTTTAAGTGCTCATTTGCCAAAGTCTTCAGTAGAAAGTATATTTATGTTTCCAGAGGTTTGCTTCTTATTAGGAGAAAAAAGTGAACAGTTTCTTATTAAGAGAAAACATTATTATTGAGCTTTGTGTTATTGTATCTAGTGCCTTGCTTCAAGAGTTGCAACACTTTGAAAAGATACATCTAGTAAATCAAGAGACTCCACTAAATGTTTTAGAAAATGCTTCTTATGCCCATTTTCATGTCCTTACTCTCAAGTGCTAATCCTGTGGTCTGGATGATACAGGTGGTGGTTTATTTAACAGGAAGAGACTACTACAGATAGTACAGATAGTAGGAACTCCCTTCTATATCTCAGTTGCCTTTTTTCCCAGCA